GAATGCCTCTCTGCACATTTGCTCATCTCAGAACGGCCATACACCATGGGTTCATTTCTGTTGTGCGGATACACCTAAGAGTGGAACTGCTAGGTCAAGTTCAGCTACAGTAGCTACTACTAGTTTTCCAAAGTGGTTGTACCAATTTAGACTCCAGCAGGAAGTGTGTAAGGGCATCATCAGTTTTTTTCAATTGTAGCCATTGTAGCGGGTGCACCCTGGCATCTCATTGTGGTTTCAGTGTGTATTTCTCTAATGATTAATGATGTTGAACACTTTTCACGTACTCTTTCGCCTCTGACATAGCCGTTTTTTATCAAGAGATGTCTTTTCCTTGCTGGTGTGTAGGAGTTGTTAGAACATTCTGGTGCTGATCCAGATGCATGTGTTACAGATATTTTCTCCCATTCAATGGCTTCTTCTCAGTCTCTTATAGGCATTTTTTCAGAGCAGAAATTCTTAATTTTATTTATCAGTCTTTTCCTTTATAGGTCGTGCTCTGGTGTCCTACTTAAGACATTTTTGTTATCCCTGAGGCAACGAAGATATCTCCCCCGACTTCCACAGTGATAAAGTTAAAATAGTGGGTAGGTTTTTACAGGAAAAGTAACGACTAGGAAGCAGTACAAGGGAGGATTCTAGGGGCTGATTGTGTTTTATTTCTTGATCTTGGTGGTTGTTACACTTGCTTGTTTACTTTTTAAATATTCATTGAACTGTATACTTATTCCGAGTACACTGTGTATGTGTGTTATATACTACTAAAGTTGAGAGAGAGAGAATGCAGAAACAGGAGCCGCTAACTAAAGTGGGTCATCACAAGATGATGACCAAAAAAATACTGTGAAAGATTAGAGAAAATATTTGTGAGAAGCTTACATAAGATCATAGGTTCTTAATCTATACCAGCCGACCTTTTAATAAATATATTTTAGCTGGGCTTCCCTGGTGGCGCAGTGGTTGAGAGTCTGCCTGCCGATGCAGGGGACACGGGTTCGTGCCCCCGTCCGGGAGGATCCCACGTGCCGCGGAGCGGCTGGGCCCGTGAGCCATGGCCGCTGAGCCGGCGCGTCCGGAGCCTGTGCTCCGCAACGGGAGAGGCCACAACAGTGAGAGGCCCGCGTACCGCAAAAAAAAAAAAAAAAAAAAAAAAATATATATATATATATATATATTTTAGCAAAAAAAACATTTAGTAAGTATAGTTAAAGAACAAGAACAGTGGCGTTGGTTAATCATATAATGTTGAAAATAAACGGCGCTGAGCATAAAATCCCTCCACATCAGTGAGGCTCCATAGAAAGAGTTAAGCAAACACAAAGCCTAAAGAGAAGCAGCAGGTTGCTCTAAATATTTGGTTTTACAAATTCTTTATTAAAATGCTACTGGCAGATATACGGCCAGTTGACTTCTGACTTCCCCTCGTCTGACAAGGCACATGAGAAGTGTGGTCTGTGTAAAATGGTGGCTGACAGGTCTGAGGTGGCGAGGAACCCATGATGCTACAGCAGAAACGTCACCAGAGGAGGACATGAGGGCACGTTCGAGTCACCGTCCAAGGCAAAAACCCAACCACAATGCCCAGCAAGGATACAGCCAATAATAAACTGTAACCCAGAACAGAGCCAGACTCTGAACCTGGAGGTGAGAGTGAACCCAACAGGAAGTGCAGTCAAAGCAGGTCCACGGGGAGAACAGCAATGTAGCACCAAGAGCAGCCTAGAGGCTGCCAAGGTCCTCAACCTGAGTCTCTTTAAAGAGAAAACGAACCAACAGCTGGTCGACGGCTACCTGGGGCTGCAGGTATGTGGGGCTGCCGCTCCTCTGCCCTCAGCCCAGCAGGAGTGTACCCCTGATTTCTGGCAGCCGGACGCCCAGAGGCCCTGAACTTAGAGATGCTCTCTGAGAGGAGCCTGAAGTGTGCAGGTGTGAATCCAGGCACTATCCTCTGAAGCCTTCGATGCCTGCCCGCTAAATCGCGGCCTGTCCACTTCTGATCCTCTAGCCTCGACAAACAGGAGATTTCTAGGGAGCAAATGCAGACTGTTGGACAAATACAAAATCTTTTTTGAGGTTGGGGCAACGTGAACGAAAAAATAGGGCTTGATGAAAGAAGTTAAGGAAACGAAGGTGAGCAGAAAAAGCCAACCTTGCAAACACGAGTGAGAAAAGCAACCTCAGGAACTCCTGGGTGGCATGGTGGGGAGGAAAGGGAGAAAATCCATAATTAAGATAATCCATGGACAGATAACAGGGAACGTAAGCCCATGAAATTCAAGTCCAAGCATAGGAGTTTGCATTTCTAATCAGCTCATGCCACGTCACGTTTTCAGAGTTCATCATTTCTAATACCCAAGAGTTCTCTTTTCCGGTCACACTGTTATAATTTATCACATCCAGGCATGCAAAATCATCCTTTTTCTAACATTAAACATGTTTAATCAGGACAATTTATAATGACACTTTAGGGCTTTAGTGACAGAAATGGATTTGACACATGATATTTACAGTAATCATAATACTACAAGATTTAAAGTGTAATGTTTTTACAGTGTTAGATCAAGAAGCCAAATTGTCCATGTTCTTAGTTAGTCATTTGCAATGCTTTTGGGGGGAATCAGCATCCAGAAATTAATTAATAGTCTTCCTCTCCACAATGATCAGTGTCATCCTGGGTACTTGCTCCTAGATGCCAACTCCTTTATACCCTCACTCTGGTGACAATCAGTAAATGTGATTAATGTTAAACCACTTGTCCTAGTAGCCAAAAGCCAATATCACACCACATGCAGGATCATAATTATGCTTTAGGAAGTAGATGGATTTGGCTTTGTTAACCAAGAATTAACCCAGAATCTGGAGGCCCCTTGAACTATTGTGCCTGGAAAATACCCATTATGTCTTGGCCTTGGGGATGCCAGGACATTTTTCAAGGATAGCAGTTTCATGCATAGTTAAGGGCCTTGAAATTCCTTTTCAAAAGACTCTAAACCTTTCTTTGTCAAACTCTAAAGTTTCCCTCTGCTTTCTCTTCTGGAACCAGTCAAATTTACACACATTCCAGCTCCACTTGAGTGAAATTCAAGTTCCCATTTAGATATTTGCTGTTAACCACAGGTCTCACGCTTCATGGCCCTTTTGACGTGTGTTTATTTGAAAAGTGAGTCGATGAACCAGTGCCTTCCTCGTATTTGACAAGTTCTATCTGACTTGGGGACCCACCTCAATAGGCAGTGATGGAGGGGCCCAAAGTAACGGGAGGGATGTTACCTGGATTATTATCCACAGCCCCTTCAATAATAAAACACAGTGTCAAGGCAGACGGACGACTGACACTTTTTTAACAGTTCAGCTTTCCATGAACTTCAAACTTAAACACAATTATGAATGGTGAAATAAGTAGAACATTGCAAAACCCACAAATTAAAACCAAAGCCCATTTTTCCATAAATGAGGAGTAGAAGGTTTGGATTTGAGCCGGCTGCCCACCTCTTGCAAGTGCCCGGGACCTCCCAAAACATGTTGGTGTTCCCACATCACCCTGGCTTCATTTGTTCCTCCCTTGGGTTCCCCTCATCCTGATTTATTTACTTACTATCATGATTATTAATTCTAATTTAGTTTTGTGCATTTTCTAAACTACTTAAATCTTCTTTGGAATAAGATAGGATATTATTATGCTTGAACTTTAGGAGATGCCCTAAATTCTTCACTCAAAGCTTATTTTTCTTTTTTTGCCTACAATTGTAATAAATTCCGTCATCGGATTTCATAATACACGGAAACTTTAGAAGAGAACAGCTGACAAAATGAGTGATCGTTTCTTCTTGATGTAGCACAGCATATTAAGCCTACTAAATTGATGGTGAATGCAACAGTAAATGAATAAATGAGTGAATGGGTAGGCGAGTGATACCTTACAGCTTAACAAGGAGAAGACAGAAACTAAAAACAAATAAATGAAACAAAAGCATAACAGTTGGGGTCCACTTGGTAAGGATGTGATCTATCTACAAATTCTACGGATAGAAGCCTTTGACGATTATAGAGTTATAGTTAATATTGATATGTATGACTATTTCTTCAAGAAAAAAGTCAAGGTATGCTTGAATGTTTTTATTTATGAAGACAAGAATGTGTCCTGTACATTTTCGAAAACTTTCTGTTTGAAAATAAAGTTTTAAAACATAAAACTTAAGGAAGGGGTAATTTTCAGCTGTCCAGAAAGTTGCCTTCTTTGAAATGCTTCAGTCCTTGGCCATGTTTGGTACCTGAAGGGATGAGCTAATATTGTGAGTTCTCCTCTGGTAGGAACGACATCTCAGGGGAAGCAATGTAGGTGGAGAATGCAGATAGTTTAAAGGTAGGTGCTGATTCACAGGGTCATGATGTGTGGGGAGCAATCCCAACCAACCCCAGTACCATGCTGACATCCCTAAAAGCGTACTCATTACTGCTAGGAAAGGGGGAGTTAACAGCAAGCATCCAAACAAGTCACTCCTTTGCTCCACCAAGCAATTGACAATGATTGACAATTAAGACCTCTGGACTGAATGACCTGCAGGGCGACCTGAGAGCAGTGAGGGACCCACGTGACCCAAACCTTAGTTTCTGCAATGCTGCAAAAAAAAGAAGACAGTTCCTGGTAGTATGCTCAGAACTTTTTAGACAAAGGATACTCCACGAATGGAAGATGTTATATAAGTGTTATTTTTATTTGAGACTTGACTCCCATTGTGATGTAAATCACAGCCCTAGACTAAGGCCACCACAGGTGCTGGATTTCCCCAGCAGCAGCTCTGGCCTTTTCATTTTTCCACTTGAGCACAGGAAGCAGCACCAGACAGGGCTACAGTTTCAGGAGAAACACCCGTTTATTATCTGGAGCCTGTTTCTCCTGGCCAGTTAAAGAGAGGTGATCTCAACCAGCAGGTTGAACCCACACTTAATGCTTCTCAATTACAGTGAGCAAAGATTGACTTATTCTTTTTTGTTTACAGAATTATGCAAAACTCATTCCTGGAGCTACAGTAGGGGTACTTCAGAAGGACTCTGGAAACATTCTCCAGCTGATCATCTCGGCTTACGAAGTATGATATTTCACTGTTGGGTTTTCTTTTTGCATTTCTTTGGTATTTAAAAACTAAGATATGTTTTAGGCTGTTAAATGCGCTCTCCTTTGTTGGTAGAGACAGTGCTTAACCAAAGAAAATCTCTCTGCATTAATGGATATAAAAAATTATATCCAAAACATAAATTTTGTTCACCTTATTTGCAGATATTCTTCCCAGAAGGTGGGGCAGAATGTAGAAAAATCATAAACCTGATCATAAAGGTTGTTTTTATAGTAATAACCAACAACAGCACTGTCACCTGCAAAATTTTAATTCTACTGAAAAGGCTTCATGAGTCATACAATTAAGCTTCCCTCTTCTCTGCCTGAAAAAAAAATTAAGTTTAAATTGCCAACGAGTAACAGAGCTATGAGAACTAACTCACAGGCTTAATGAGACTAAATTATGATTTAGTCAAGGGAAAAAACACCAAAGCACACCAGGAACCACTTTGTAGATTTTCTGCTTTTGAGAACCAAGGAAATTTTCCACTGGTTTTATGTCATATATGTACATAAATACTTTTTTTTTTTCTTTTGCCTTGTCTTTGTAAATTAGTGCCTGAAGACAGAATTCTTCCCTTAAAATAAGATCCATACCTACAGGGTTGCTATGTTTTCTCTCTATGTCACCGTTTTATAACTCAGTCAACAGTGGATGACCAGTTGCCAACTCTTTTTTATTTTGGTTCCTAAATATCATTATCATCCCCCCTTTTTGCCTTTACCTACAAAGAAACACACACACACACACACACACACACACACACACACACACACACACACACAAATGTGAAGCTCTAAATTAGGACAGGAATGAAAAAAATAAACTTTTATAAAGCAGTAAAGCTCTAATATTTGCTCTAAACAGAGTCACATAATAGCAAATGAATAAAATTCTAATTTTGATCCTTAAAAATGACAAATAAATGACCCATAGGCACTCTATGCCAATACTTAGCATATACTGAACCAGTGTTCCTTGACATTTCAGAATCATCTGGAAAGTTTTTTAAAAATAAGTGTGTCCAGATTCTTCTCACAGATGTCTTAGGAGAATTTTAAGGGAAGGAAGAGTCACGTATTTTGAGAAAAAACCCCAGTGTTTTTGACATCACCCCACCAATTTTGAAACTCACCTTAATAGGGAAAAGCAAGTTATTTTTTCTTGAATACATTTTCTCAGAGAAAATACAGATGGTCCATTAAAGTTATAGGATGAGAGGTTTTTTTAAAATTCATACCCTCAGAAACTTCAGTTTTCTTAGCTCACATAAAAATTTAATCACCATGCTAGTTCACGCTTGAAATTCTTCCAGACAGGAAAGCTTGTCAACAAAATACTATAAAAACCTTCCTCCCTCTTATGCAGTAAAGTTTTAATGTGTAGAATCAAGTAAAATCACATGGTAATTCTTCACTGAATTAGAACACGCTCAATTTTCTTTAACTCAGGACTCTCAAAAGTGCTGGCCACTAATATTTTCAAAGGAGTTAAGCAAAGTAGAAAACAGTGAATTGTCAAAAATATTTCCCCTCCTGTCTGACCAGCCCTGTCTGTGCCCCTGCTTGCTCTGTCAGAGTTTATGTCTCACTTTACACCCCCAATCACTCACATAATTTACAGAGTAGTTGAAATCAAGGCATCAAACATTTGAAGTGAATCTTGTGTCTTTATTTTACTGTCTCAAAAATATGAAGTGTCTGTTATTCTTATATCAAACCATCTTGCTCTGGAGTTATGATTGAAACTCTATGAGTCACCGTGAGGTATGCAACAGATCTTGGCACTGGTTCAAATTATTTTTCTGTTGTGTTATTTTTTAAATGTATCCTAAAAGGACCTTAAAATATGGGGATCCATAGACTAGATTTTTTTCCAACCTATAAAAAAGAGAGAGAAGGAAAGAGACTATATTGAGAGAAAATATAAAACGCGTCTGACTTGTAGTGGGGCAGAGGCAAACAATTTGTGTTTATGATTAGTGACGATGAACTTCAGCTCAGTATTTTACAGTGCTGTATTGACATTTAAAAAGCCTTAAATACCAGATGTGTATTCACCTGGCCATCATTCACTACTTTCCTTCCTTCCCTAACCACATAATAAAAGCTGCTGAAATATCCATACTCCCAAGGGTAAGGTCCTCTGTTGGCATTTAAGTTCCAGAAGGGAAGTGACTTGTTTTGTTTTGCCTGGTTCATAGTATATGCTCAATAAATGAATGAGTGAAAAGATGAAATATACAAACAAACATTTATGTCCTTTCTTCGGGAAATTCACATTAAAATATTCCTGGTGAAATTTGCAATATGATATTCCAATTAACTCATTGCTGAGGTTTCCTTCATTTTGGTTAGATTATGTCACTCACTACTCCTAATTGCTGTCATCTACGAACGTTCAGGTCATGTCCTTCATTTCTCGTTTAGTTCACAGTGCCACTGTCTCCAGCACCACTCCTGTCTTATTTCTTGATGATTTCAGCCCATATGTTTACATATATATGATCCTTCCCATACTCTGGACTCTCAGTTTCTTGAACTCTGCTTCTGAAACAATCTTGTTCCCTTCCCTCTTTTTTTTTTTTTTTTTTTTTTTTTTTTTTTTTCTGTACGCAGGCTTCTCACTGTTGTGGCCTCTTCCGTTGTGGAGCAAAGGCTCCGGACGCGCAGGCTCAGCGGCCATGGCTCACGGGCCCAGCCGCTTTGGGGCAGGGGGGATTTTCCCGGGCCGGGGCACGAACCGCGTTCCCCGCATCGGCAGGCGTCCTCTCAACCACTGCACCACCAGGGAAGCCCCCTTCCCTCTTAATTACCTCCTCATACCTTTACACTCTTGTCATGCCTTAAACGTTATCATTGCCGATAGTCTCAGTTACATGCAATCCATTCTCTGCTCACCATTTCCAATCTTTTCACCTCACTCTTGCTAGTTCCCCTAATATTTCTTCCAACCCATCAGGATCTCCAATTAATTGACCCTGTCCTCTGTGTACAGTTCCTCATCCCCTTGATGTCCTCTCTCACCTGCCCCTCAGCTTAAATTCAAACATTGTGGTCACTCCTTAGACACACTCTCAATTCCCCTGCACCTTATCACTCCTTTGAGGTGGCTGGCCAATAGTGGTCCTGGTAAAATCCAACTGTCCACTCTGCACAGCTGAATGGGAATGGGAAAAACATACAATCATGCTACCGGATCTCACTTTAAATTCACGATCACAGACTTCAAGCTGGCCCTCAATGCTGCCCAGCAACCATGCTATATTTCTCTGGTAAACGTCCAAATGGAGAGATCTAGGAGTCAGTTGATATATTAGTTGGCAAATCAGCAGAGTAACCTGGACTCTCCTTGACTCCTGGAGACTCTCCTGGAGTCTCCTTGACTCCCCCCTTTTTCTTTCACGCTGTACATTTAATCCATCAGGAAATCTTGTTGACTCTACCCTCAAATTTATTTAGAGTTTGATTCAATTGCTGCGTCCACTGTCCTCATCCTAGTTGGAGCCACCGTCCTCATTCACCTGAATTATTGCAAAAGCCTCCTAAATATTTCCCGTTTCCACCTTTGGTTTCCTACATTCTGTTTTCAACAAAACAGCCAGAAGTTTCATTAAACATGTTAAGTCAACTCCTATTACTCTTCTGTTGGTAACCCTAATTGCTTTCTCATTTTACGTAGAGTAAAAGCCGAATTCTCTATAACAGCCTACGAGGACTCTATCAGGTCTGTTCCCCTGCACCCCATCACCTCTGACTTCACCTCCCGTTACTATCCTCTAATTCTGCTCCAGTGCAGCAAACCTACCCTCTTCGCTCTTCTGCTCCCAGAGCAAGCCAGACATGGTCCTGCCTTAGGGTCTTTGCATTGGCTGCACCCTCTTCCTGAAACATTCTGTTCACATATATCTGCGTGGCTAATTTCCTCTCATTTTCTTGAAATGTGACCCTCTTAATGAATCCCACCCTGATCACTTTTTAAAAATTGTAGCCTATACGCCCTGCCCACACTCTCTTAATCTTCATTATCCCACCCTAACTTTTTTCCATAGCATTTATCACCTTCCTGGTACTACATAATTTTCTTATTTATTGTGTGGTTTCCTTTCTGTCTTCCCACACTGGAGTATAAACTCAATCAAAGGGTAAGCTATTTTAGACGTTTTTGTTTCCCAAGCGCCTAGAACAGTGTCTGGTACATAGTGGACACTCAATAAATATTTTCTGAATGAATAAACTGGTAATGTAACTAGTTGAGATAAAACAGATTTAAAGGATACATTTTAATGCTAAATTGGCAGAAATTGAAATCTTAAGACACGATGGGAATAATCTTTAGGACTGCGAAACGACACTTTAATCTCTGACAAAGACTACATTCTGAAAAGTCAGGCTGTGCCCATCTACGGAAGGAGTGACCACGTGGGGCAAATAACAAAGCAGGGAAGAGGAGTGACTTAGAATTTACAGTCAGCAACTTAGAATTAGGAGGAAAGCAGGGTTATCGTACCACGCAGTTGGCAAAATTATATTTCAGGAAAGTTTGAAGCAGAATATGCTTTTAAAATTCTCTCAATGAAATGGGTATAGGGACTCAAATCCTTTTAGATGAATTACAACTTACTTCATAGTACTTTCCAATTTGTTTTTATTCTGTTTTTTAAAACTAATTTGGTTTTGAAATTAATTTGAAATTATTTGAAATTAATTTGGTTTTGAAGTCCCCCAAATACAGACTTCTATAAAAGAAAGAGGAATAAAGAAGGTCTGAATAATAACACTAGCTTTCCCCAAAAGCAGCTCTCCCTTCCCCTTCCTTGACATTCTTCCTCCTGGGAAATGTTGCCTCTACGTACCCCTCTGCCATCACCCACACGCCCTGTATCTAGTCTTCCCCTCTTCCACCCCCGTCATCGCATATCCCAGCCACTGCATCCCTGCTCCTCACGCCTCAGGCGTGGCGAATGCAGCAACATGCCAGCCTCCTTGACTTAAATCTTCCTGTCCCCTCCTCTAGCCTGTCCTGCACATGCCTTCCAGACAACCTCCCTGCAGCTGCCTTTTCAGTAAATCAGGCCCCTGCTTAAAAGCTTCATGGAATATTTCCCGCAGGTGTTAACTCATCTCTCCAAACCTCAGGGTTCTTTGTGGTCTGGTGTCTCCCCGGACAGTAGGGGTGCAGGCTTGGGCTGAGCCCCTCTTTTCTCCATTCTGTACCACTCCTGGCACTGAGCTTTCTCTCTTTTGGTCCCCTCGCCTGAAATACCATTGTCATCCCCTCCACACATCTAAATCCAGCACAGCCATTAAGGATCAGTCGTCTAGTACGGCAGCCTTCACTGACCGCCCTCTTTCCTGAACTCTCCCAAACCCTTATGTATTACACAATTTTTTTTTTTCTAATTTAAAGGTACATTGACTGACGTTGTACGTTAACTGCTTCACTTGGTTCCACCATATTTTTTTCAGCAAGATGATCATCCTGAGGGCAGAAATCCTGTCTTATACCCATTCCCCCAGACCTGGCTCTATACTAAACATACAATAGGGACTCTATAAATTCCAGCACTGATTTCAAGGCACAGTTTCTCTCACATTTTAACATCTGTAAAATTGGGATACATTTTATAATTAGTTATGTCTTACCAATGCTTTCAATAGAATGGAAGTCACAATGTAGTTTTCATGGTCTGCACATGTATAAACTTGGCAGTAACTGTATGTGTTATTGTCACTTCAATCCGTTAAGTACACTGTTGGTACTGTAAGTGTCGAGTACAATTGCTATTTTTAAATATCTTCCAGGTTTGCACTATGACTCGATACTGAAAAGTTATTGTTTGCGCAGAAATGTACCAAAACTGAATAAGAGGGAAACAAATACTGATATCAGCGAAGCAGATATTCATTGTTGGAGGAATGATCTGTATTCCTTATAAAGTAACAACCAGCTGCTTTATGGGACCTAAAAATGATGATACATAGGATACAAGTAAAGCAAGCTATTGTTATATTTTGTTACTGACATACAAGCAAAAGATTTGCCTTTTATGTGCCAAGCAATGCAATTCAGGACTGGAGAAATTTTTCCAACCCTCAAAATGGATAAAATAATTTTTAAAGCAATGATAGACGGACAGGTTTGATTCATATGTAGTGCCGAACGATCTCGAGGTATTCTGTCATAGTTTAATTGTCATAAAATAATGGTGTATCTTATAATTGATGGCATCTTAGATTCGATAAAATATGATGTGTGTGTGTGTGTGTGTGTGTGTGTGTGTGTGTGTGTGTGTATTGCTTGCTTGCTTGCTTGATTGGTGATATGGTGAATTTCTTTTAGACCCAATTTAATTTTATTTATTTGTTGTTTAATGAACATGATTCACAGATTCTTCTCTTCTGGCTCTAATTTTTGGTTGTGACTTCGTTCAACTCTTTATGTCTTATCTAAAGGAACTCCGGTCTGAGGTGGAGCTGGAGGTGTTAGGAGACACAGAAGGACTCAACCTGTCATTCACAGCTGTCTGTAATACTGGGACCCCCTTTCCACACCAAAAGAAATGCTCTCACATGAAGGTGGGAGACACAGTAAGTAGATGGCCCATAGGTCATCTGAAAAAACATCTAGATGACCTGTCAGAAGTTACCTTAGTGCACTGAAGCTAGACTTTTCCTTTCAAGAATTTCAAAAGCGATTTTCAAAGATTTCCTAATAAATGCTTTCGCAGAGCTGATCCCCATGCAGCTTTGTTTCTTCCCATGCATATTGGTGGCTAGAAGAAGATAATTAGTATTTTCTTTTTTTCCAGGCTTTGTTCAATGTGACTGTGAGTATACCAAACTGTGAGAGAAGAAGCAGGCACATTGTCATAAAGCCTGTGGGGCTGGGGGACGCCCTGGAGATCCTTGTCAGTCCAGAATGCAGCTGTGACTGTCAGAAGGAAGTGGAGGTGAACAGCTCCAGATGCAGCAATGGAAACGGATCCTTCCAGTGTGGAGTGTGCGCCTGTCACCCTGGCCACATGGGTCCTCACTGCGAGTGTGGGGAGGACACACTGAGCACTGACTCCTGCAAGGAGGCCCCGGAACTCCCCGCGTGCAGCGGAAGAGGCGATTGCTACTGCGGGCAGTGCATCTGCCACTTGTCCCCCTATGGAGACATTTACGGCCCTTACTGCCAGTGTGACAATTTCTCCTGCGTGAGACACAGAGGGCTGCTCTGTGGAGGTAGGCCATGTCCAAATCCACCTTACAGGGCGACTGTGCACATATCAAGGAAGGGCTTTGCATCCTTTGCACCTTCCACAGCCACCTGGGCACAGTAGGTGCTCAATAAATGTTTGCTGATCAGTTGAGTGGGTTGACCTTTAGACTAAGGTAACTGATCTCTTCCTTTATGTTTTTTTCTGGCTCTGACATTCTCTAGGGGTGAGATCTCTGCCAGCTGAACTTACATCTCTATTATTATTTCCCTGGGAGTAAGTAGGTAAAAGACGGATGCCTTCTCTTTGGTTATTACCCAGATGCCACAAAACTCCATGTAATCAAACTCCATTATCTTCCAGACTATTCTGGATCAGGCTCTTGGTATCTGACTCAACACTTAAATGCTTATTACTTTGGAAAGATAAAAAGCCAGGCTACTTAAGGAGCATACTGCAAAGGACAAGGGACACAAAAATTCTAAATGGACTTTCAGGGCCTTCATTCACTCCATGCATATTTATTAAACACCTGTTATGTAACAGATACTAGGTTAGGCACAGGGTATAATAAAGATGAATAAGGACATATGTGAAGAAGGCTATGGAAAGGGTAAAAATGAAAAATCCTTGGAATTTTTTGAGACTGAGAAAAATTTTAAGTAGCAGAAATATTTATGTTCTAATATCCTTTGTAGATGTAAAAATCACTTTAGTTTAAAGCTATATTACATATAACATGACTATTATAAAATCATTCTGAGAGATGCACATACGTATTTAAGTACAATCTAGTCAGACAAGAATTACAAATGTCTTAATTATACTTTTAAATGATACAGATTTGTGTTACAATTGAAATCGTAACCGACTGCTGAATTTAAGCTCATGTCTTTTTTTTTTTCTTTTCACAGTGTGTGAGCAGATAGCTTTTCAAAACAGAAAGCCATTATCTTTACAGAAAACTAAGCAAGTTACGTTTTCAAACCACAGTGTCAGGAACATATAAAAGAGACTGATTTTCAGGGGAAAAGGCCTTTGAAAACCATCTGATACCCTTAGAAGTGCGCCTCCGTTTCATTTCTTGGCTTTTGCTGTTGCTGCCAATAGACTCCTCTGAGGCTGCCTTCTTTCTTCCCCACCAAAGAGTGAAAAGTTTAGGGTCTGTCCAGATTGAGACACATTTCTCTCCCCTTTCATTCAAAGGTGTTTTTCCTTATCTAATGGGTGTGTTTCCAAACCCACATTGGTCTTCTTTTCACACAATGCAGACAGAACACAGCCTGAAACCAGAGGCCATCACCAAGTCTCGAAACGAATCTATTCAGCAGAACCCCAGATTGCATTTCTAATAGAAATCTTTAATAAAATATGTGCTTAAGACATTTGAAATTGCCTTTCCAAAGAAAAAAACTCCAAAGTGTAATCAAATACAGTATAACAGCAATTATGACCCCACCTGTATTTCACCCTTTAGATCTGAAGTCAGAGGTCTAAGGCTGTGTAAATCGATGGGTTATGTTCAGCAACACAGTTCTTCCCATTTTTTGGTGGCCTTTCAGTTTATTTTGTGTCACGCATGCGGACAGACATAAATTCAGAGTCAACTTGATCTGTGCATTTGTAGTTCAGATGCTCTGACAATAGTGCCTCTCTTTGAATCAGCTACGGTGATCGCTAAAGAAATTCTATTTAGAAAATACAATTTTTTTTCATTTGGACTCAGAAAACTTCACCAATGCCCATTTCCTTCATACATTGGGGTACTTTCGCATCCTCAACCATGACTGTTTCTCGAAAGCTTTTTTGTGTTCAGTAACATCTCAAAGGATGTTCCTCTATTATTAGTAACCTTCTCTTTTAAAAGGTATAACAAAAGTACAGTCATTCAAATTCAACGAAGAGCAATGGAGCACCTACTATGTGCCTGGCATTGTGCTTTGTGTAGGGATAAAACCGATCCAGGCCTTGTGAACACACAAGCTATTGTTGCTGTTGTTTGTCACAGAGGCCTGACTATGCTACAGCCTCATTTCTCGTGTAAATCTCACTTATTTTACAACTAACATACTCTGCAATGTACTGCTTCTCTGCAGGGCCATTATCACAATATTCTTTTCATGTACCTTCTTCCATCCATCTGTAAGCACTCAAAGATAGAGGGCTCCATTGATTTTTCCCTTGCCCAAATTCCATTAGTCATTTAAATTTTGATTCTAAGAGACTGGAAACTCTAACAGGCAAACAGCACTACAGAAAAAACTTCCTGCCATTGTGCACTTAGTTATCAGTCAATGGCATTCCAGAAAGATATCTCCCTCTCAAAAGAGCCTGATAATTTTTTCTTGATCTTTGATTACCATCTTGCCTCTACATGAAGCCATTATGAAGTTTTGTTGCGTTGTTATTGTTGTATGAACAGGTACCTTAGATAATTGGTTGTTTGTGGATATCAATTAACAACTTTTGTGACTGGGTTAATGGTTCTGGAAGGCCCACAGAAAGGGAGGGTTTCTAAGTTCTGAAAGGAGCTCTTGGAAGGGTTTTCTAAAATTTCTGCCAAGTAATTCTTATATGCAGTGATACACTTGGGCATTCTCAAAGCCTTTGGAAGTGCACATTTCATTTGACAATATTTATATACCGTATACATTTTTCAGAATAAACTTCAATGTGGAAATCACCCCCCTATCATGAAAGTAAGTTTCCCCTCTTGCTGAGGAAGAAACAAAAAGCAATTGTACTTTAGAGGACAGCTTACATATAAAAATTAAATGAATGGTTTTGGCCTAAATAACCTAACTATTCTTAGCTTTGAATTAATTAGTTCAATTATGAATTAAATAGGTTATGAAATGCAGTCTTAATGTCATGGATCCAGATAAATTTCAAGTCATCTTTCATTAGAGAAGTGTAAGTCTTTTTAGTATATATATATATTTAGTATATATACTAAATATATATATAATATATATTTAGTAATTATATATAATTACTATATTACCCTCTCTATATAGATATAGATGATACAGATACAGATACAGATGTAGATATATAAATATAGATATAGATATAGATACAGGTACATATACACCGGGAGAAGTCAGAATCCAGCTTCAAAATCTTTGTGGTTTATCCTTTGTTCTGTGATTTCCTACTCCATGTCTCTTAAGGCCAGGTCATGAAGATAGAAAAGTAACGACCTTCTAGACCAAAATTTACAAGAGAAAACCCAGAATGCTTCTGTCTACAATGAACATGGCAGCGTCTCCTACAAATGGAAACCTGCCTCACTTGTGATTTCTTTTACATCTGTTTGGTTTTCAGTATAATTACAGGAGTTTTAATACTGATGGATAATTTTGCTATCAGATTCTTCTTACTGGATAGTGTTTAGGATTAATGATAATAACTTACATATTGCTTATTTATGGGCCAAGCACTGTTCTAAACATTGTTATATATTATCTCAGGGAATCATCATAACAATCTGATGAAGTGGTGCTATTAATAACCCCTCCTTACCAATGAGGAAACTGAGGCATAGAAAGGTTGAGTAATTTTCCCAACTTGGCCCAGCCCGTACCAGAGCCAGGACCCAAACATGTGCTGTCTGGCTCTACACCTGTGCTCTCACCCACTACGTACTCAACCACCGCCACCATATGCCCACATGCCTTTGGAATGTTGCCAAAGAGCAAAACTTGGGAGGCGATGGCTGGTGCGCTTTTCCTTTTCTGAAGAAAAGTGTCAGTTGCGAAATTTGTAAGTAAATGCTGTTGGAACAGCAAAAGCCAATTTAGGATCTTGGGCATGGCAGGCACCCAAAAATTATTATGAAAGAGCACACAAGCCCATTACCTGAAACACTTTATTTAACATTTTATAGTAGTTCGGACAGTACTCTGTGGCCAGTTCTTCAGGAGCTCTTCAGGAGCCACTCTTGTCTCTCAGCCTCTTCTGTGAGGATCCCTTTCTCTGATTACATCTTAAATGCCGATGCTCTCCAGGGATTTCCTCACTCTATCTGCTTGCCCTAGATGATCTCATCCACATCAGCTTCGACTGCCATCTATCCCTGGTGGATTCCAAACCCCAAACTTCAGGGCTATATATACATATTCAACCACCCATGGGTCCCTCAAACTCAACAGAACCAAAAATGAACTCATCGTCTTCCCCATCCTAAGCTGCTCTTCCTCGTCTGCCTCAGAACAATCTATTCATTTAACAATTAAGCACTCTGTGCCAGGCACTGGGGATAAGGCACCGCATGAGTTACTTCCATTCCAGGGCAGTAAACAGCAGCCCTATCCAGCTAGCAGCCCAGGGGGGTGACCTGGGGAGGATTCCATCCTCTCTCTTCCCCTCCCCCGCCGCCCTGGGCATCCCATGCCATGAATTTCACCTGAACCCTTTCCTCTCCATTCCCATGGACACTGTTCAGGGCCTCATATCTTCTTGCCTCTATTGCTGGGAGAACCTCCTTACTTGCTTTTCGGTGTCTAGTTTGACTCTCTCTACTGATGCCAGGACATTTCTAGACACATATCTATCTCTTCAGGTCTCTCCCTTACTTAAAATTTCATAACTTTCAGGATAAAACCTCTTACTTTAGTCCATAAAGCTTTTCATGATGTGATTTCTGATTTTTGTTGACCTTTTCCTCCTATCCTCACGGATACCCCATACACACCTTTGGCTTTATTCATGTGAATTTACTATGGGTATTAAGCAGGTCACATGATTACACACTCCTGTCATTTACCTGTGCTTTTTTCTCTGCTTATAATGCACGTAACCCTCTTCTTCTATCTTCTATCCTTATCTTCCAAATTCAGCTCAAGCATCACTTCCTCTGGAAACTTCCCCAAATCTTTTGTCTAATTTGGAAACTTCCTCTGTGTGTATGGCACTTATCACGTTGTACTTATTAGCAGTAGTATTTATTTGCCTGTCTCCTAGACTAAGCTATAAGCTCAGCCACCTTGTCTTATTTAATTTTTTATCCTCAAGCCTAAAACAATCTTTGGCACATGATATATGCTCAATTAAAATTTGTTAAATAAATGAATTTGTTGGGCACTCACTGTATGCCTGCAGGACATCTAGTTGGTGAATACAAAGCTAGGAGATTTACACATTATCTCATCTGACCACAACCATTGGAAGCAGCTTTTATTCCTTCTACTTTATAGATGAGGCTTTCATAATTACTCAGCTTGAGTGATGTAGAGGTGGGGTTACTAAAGTCTGTCTTGTATGTCTATCCTATGGCATCTTAATTGAAAGCAGAAAATTTAAAAAACTACATACACACACACACACACACACATACACACAGTTGGCCCTTTAACAACACGGGTTTGAAGTGCGTGGGTCCACTTATGTGCAGATTTTTTTTCAATAAATATATTGGAAAAATTTTTGGAGATTTGCAACAATTTGAAAATACTCGCAGATGAACTGCGTAGCCAGAATTATCAAAAAAATATTTAGGTATGTCATGAATGCATACAGTATATATAGATACTAGTCTATTCTTACATAGGCATAAGGTGAGTGATATTTAATATAAAATTAATAATGTGTTAGTTTTCTTACTGTTTTTTTTTTTAATTTTATTTATTTATTTTTGCTGTATTGGGTCCTCATCTCTGTGCGAGGGCTCTCTCCAGCTGTGGCAAGCGGGGGCCACTCTTCATCGCGGTGCGCAGGCCTCTCACCATCGCAGCCTCTCTTGTGGCGGAGCACAGGCTCCAGACGTGCAGGATCAGTAGTTGTGGCTCACAGGCCCAGTGGCTCCGCGGCATGTGGGATCCTCCCGGACCAGGGCTTGAACCCGTGTCCCCTGCATTAGTAGGCAGACTCCCAACCACTGTGCCACCAGGGAAGCCCTTCTTACTGTTTTATAACTTTGCTTTCAAAGCATATTACTATACAGTATGCCTTTCTCATAATTGGAGAAACTGCATATCAGCCTACCATTACAGGTAAGTGGATTTTTAGAAAATGTAATCATGCTTCTATATGAATATGTCTATAATACTGTATGCCATAAACATTTTTAACAATTCATTCATTGGTGTATAGGCTAGGCTACTGGGAAGCAATTATATCAATTATACTAGGCTACCATAAGGCAATCATATTGCTGCTTCTTCATTATCAAGGCATGAATAGCTATATCTATAAATAAATATGAATTTCTTTTTCACATTATCTTTTCATTTTTTGACGTCTAATGTTGGTAAGTTGTATAATATCTACAGTGTTATAAGACAATATTGATGTAGGTACTGCCAGATGATTTGTCTTGTAAATTTACAGCATTGATAAATACAGCACAGTACTGTAAATGTATTTTTTCTTCCTTATGATTTTCTTAATAACATTTTCTTTTCTCTAGCTCACTTTATTGTAAGTATACAGGATATGATACATATAACATATAAAATACGTGTTAATCAACTGTTTACATTATCAGTAAGGCTTCCAGTCAACAGGAGGCTGTTAGTAGTTAAGAGCTGAGGGAGTCCAAAGTTATCCTCAGATTTTGGCCTGGGGGCAGGGGTGAGAGTGGGGTGGGGGGGGGTGTCAGTGCCCCAACCCATGCGTTGTTCAAGCGCCAACTGTATATACACACACATACTTGCACACACACACACCAAGTAGCTATTATAGGCTTCTGGATTATCTTATTTCATCTGGTTATAAATTCTGTTGGATATAACATCAGGCAATCAAGTTGGTTCAGTTAAGAGACCAGATCAATGAATATACACAGTTTGCAAAACACGTTCCATAAAATCTACCTACGCTTACTCCCCCCCAGCACCCATACACACGCACTCACTTTTTTTCTCGTTTTTTTCTTGTCTTTTTGATGGTGTTCAAAGGCAAAGAGAAAAGATGGCCCCCAAGATCCGGAAGTGGCTTTAGCCCTAAGAAACTCAGGGCTTTGTTTTGCAGATAACGGCGACTGTGACTGCGGCGAGTGCGTGTGCAGGAGCGGCTGGACGGGCGAGTACTGTAACTGCACCACCAGCACGGAGCCCTGCATCTCCGAAGACGGGGCGCTCTGCAGCGGGCGAGGGGGCTGTGTGTGCGGCAAGTGCGTTTGCACGAACCCCGGAGCCTCGGGACCCACCTGCGAACGTTGTCCCACCTGTGGCGATCCCTGTAACTCTAAATGGTAATGTCTCTACGCTCACCAGTCCTTCCTGTCCGTAGGGTTCATGGTGATCAAAGTTATAATGACATTTTATACACTCAGACCTCAGATTGTCCTTGCTGGCTTTGGTCTCCAAGCCTCCATCAAAACACACAAACCCGCAGAGCCCCTGCGATCGTCAGCCTGGAACGTCGGCCTCTCCCTTGTCTCTCAGCGCCGATGATCCAGGACCACAAAGTCACATTTCTGCAAGACAGCCTAGCAGGGAAGCTGAGCTGACGTCCCACGCTGATAACATCGACAGTCTCTCCCTTACAGTACCAACCACACATCAGGAAT